GTGTGTGTGTGTGTGTGTGTGTGTGTGTGTGTGTGTGTGTAAGGGGAAGACTGTAACTGAACCTTAGAATTTGTCTTGCTTTCAGTGCTATCCACACTGTTCATGTTTATCTCCAGTTATCTTAGCGATATAGACCGTGTGACTGCAGCGGGCTATGTTCCCACCCAGCAGGATGTGCTGAGGGTTCGTGTTCCCACCACGGGTATAATAGAGTACCCGTTTGACCTGGAGAACGTCATCTTCAGGTACCCCCCTCCCCAAAAGCCACCAGGACTTGCAGCACCACTATGGGTAGAAGACATAAACCACTGATGATCGTCTGTATCCTGTTTTTTTGCCACCGAGACACAAATTCAAAATCTGCTAATTGCTCCAAGTTCTGATTCTGAGTAGACAGAGTTGTCCTGAGGAGGTGAATGAAAATGATGCAGTTAATGTGATTAGATATCAGTGGTTTGTGTTTAGAATTGTGTTGGCAGAAGGCCAGACATGCTGCACTGAAGTGTGTGGAGAGCAGCCACAAAATAACAGATAAAGAAGGATTAGACAGGAACATCAAAGATTCTACAGGAACTGGGTGAAACAGGTAGCGCTCTTTAGAGGGATCCTCTGGTCAGTTTTGAAGAGATGTTCTGTGAGATAATAGATGTCAGTATTTATCAGTCATGGAGCCCAGAGGATGAACAGGGCAGACGTCTTCATCAAGGCTAGGCTAATGGCTAGCTAAAAGCTTCTGCCCTTTTCTCCATGACTGATAAACGGATAACTAATTGGCAAAGCATCACTTCAACAAATGACCTCATTATTCCATTCAAAGTTATAAAAAATAAATCTAATTTAAAGCATCCTTTCAAAATAAAAGGAAGGCTAAAATTTCCTGCTATCTTTGATGCTAAACTTGTCCGACTCTTCTTTAGTCGATACAAATGCTGCTGAAGTCACTGCTGCTGCCACCTCACTCTCTGCACCATAATCCACCAATGACTCGACCTCAGTTTCGCTTTCACTTCAAAATAAAGCAACAGTTGATTGCAAACCTCAAAGAGATGTAATGGGTCTGTGCAAAGAGTGCCGGTGGAGCCCAACTAACACCCTTTTTGTTTCTTAGCTCCTCTGAATCATCTTCTACAGGACTGATCAGCGCTTTCCTGGAACTGCAGAGAGTTGCTGTAATTTCCTGTCACGCTTTATATAACTGTTTTCCTGTCTTTTTTCTCTCCCCCACTTCCCCCTTTTATTTCTCCCTCCTTCCTGATGGCCTTCTTGTAGCTATCTTACGGATCTGGATCGAATTTCCGATCCCAACTATCTTCCTACTCAGCAGGATGTACTCAGAGTGCGCATCCCTACTACAGGAATCATAGAGTACCCATTCGACTTGCAAAGCATCATCTTCAGGTAGAAAGATGCCTGTTGAAGCTGCGTCCCTTTGTGGTTTCTCATAAGATAATCATCCTTTTTTTTTCCCGATTCCCCATATAATTCATCTTTCTATCCCTCCTCATTAATGAAAACATTTTGTTTGTCTACATCTCTGAATGCTTCCTTGCAACCGATAATTGAATTTGTTGCTTAGTTACTTACCTGCTGCCTCTAGGAACAATCACACACACAGAACCCAAGCACAAATGAACACGAAGTCCTGCATTCTGGTGCCCGGTCTCTGTAAGTGGGTCACCTCCTCCTTTCCTCCCCGCCTGTCACAAGAAACGAGGTCGTCCTCTCCGCTGTGGAGGAATGTTATTTTGGGCAGCAGGTCCTGCAGTGCCTGTATTGGCCCCGGGTCTCTGTGGATCACAGTGGACTGGGCCACCACTAGGAGGCACCATTGCTGCATGAAACATGGCCGTTTTTGTGGCTCAGACTCAGAGATAAATGAATTCTGATGGCCTGGACTTTTTTTTTTAAATCTAGAAGACAGGAAGAATTTACGAAACAAGACTTTTAGTTCTAATGTTGTCCGTTCTTCTCTTTGACTGGAAAAGTTTTGTGACTTGAGAGATTTTTTACTGAGTCGTTTGTGCCAAGTAAAGGCTTAATGAAACTGGGACCTGAAGTCCCTGATGGAGGAATGACATTGTCAAGGAGAGGCTCAGAAACCCTGAATTCACACGTTCTGTGAGTTTGGATGTTCTTCAGTGTTGATCAGTGATATATACTGTACCTTGCTTACTGCTCCTCCCTGATCTGACCCTTTCTACTCATTTTTTGGCTAATTTTTTTTAAATCACTTTCACAACAGTTTGAACTCGTCCCACTGTCTTCTTTTTGTCCTCTGTCTGCTCTGTGTCCCACTTTTCAGCTCCTCCTTTGTCTTTCATCTCAAAGGCTGACAAATCAGAGTATTTTCTGCTGCTGCCACGCACACGCATGCACACACACACACACACACGCACACACAATGTCCAATACGTTCAAGTGAGCCCTCATATAATTTTATGAAGTGATCAAACTGCTCACACAGTTAATGATTCGGCTGCTTTTGGATTTTTGGACACTTATTCAGGGTTCCTACACAGTATGGAAAAGTGTGAATATCAATTTTAGTATTTTCCAAGTCTGGGCATATACCGTACATATATATTTCAGGGCAGCGGTGACAACAATGTAGCTTACCATCATCAGTCTGGGAATGTATAGTAATGAATATTGTAAAACATCTTTGAAAGTCTAGAAAAGTGCTTTATAAAACTATATGACTCATTATTGTTATTATTGTATAGGTCTTCTGGACGGGTTTTTCTGTAATGAAACGTTTCGTCTCTCCTCCAAGGCTACGTTCACACTGCAGGCAAATCCGACCCAAATCCGATTTTTTTGACCCATCCGACCCAAATCCGATTTTTTTGACCCATCTGACTTATATCCGATTTTTAAATGACAGTCTGAACGCGACAAATCCGATTTTTTCAAATCCGACCCAGGCCGTTTCAGTATGTGGT